TTATTAAAGGATTTTTTAAATTATTTTAGAATTTTTTTTTAATTATAAAAATATGTTTATAAAAAATTTAAGATTTTTAAAGTTCTTTATAATTTTTTATAATTCTTTTAGAAAATTTTAAGACTTCTTTTGGATTTGATTAAGGTTTGACTAAGATTATGAAGGTTCAATTGGGATTTGTTTAAGATTCTATTAAAGATTCTAAAATCTTTATTTGTTGGAATTTCCAGTTTATCCTTTATAGCTAAGTGTCCAATGTATTCTCAAGCAATACAACACATTAAATAATACAAGCTATAAGCACATTCTTGGTGTTGTGTTGTAATATTTTAATTGAGTAAAAAATAATAATAATCAAAATAAATAAATAAACAAAATATTTAAGAGCTTAATTAAAAGTATAGTATTAAAATACATTAAAAATATAAGACGAAATAGTATAAATTAGTAAAAATAATATTAAAGACATCTTTAAGTATAAATAAAGAATATTTTTTTAAAAAAAAATAGAAAAACCTTAGATGGATATCCAAAGAAGACCAATTATGAACCAAGGTCAAAACTAGACATTGAGATACAAAACTACATGTGTACAACAAATGAGAGATTATTTTGTTGATTGATGAGCAGATACAAAAAGATAACATGATAAGATTTCTTTAAGCTTTGATTTTGAAGGATTTGAGTAGATATTGACTTCATAAAAGCTTTGCAAAATTAGAATATTTTTTGATGAATTTATTTTTTATAGAATAAAATATATATATATATATATATATTTATATTTATTATAAAATCTATAGAAAATCTATGAGTAAAAGTATATGGATTTATGAATGTAGTTGTATTAGATGTACATTGTGAAGATGAGCTTAATTTGTTGGTTATTTAAAAAATAATTGAAATTTAAGTGTTGGAAATTGGATTTTAAAGTTGAGTGTTTTTATAATTTTGACTAATTTTTTAGTTTGATTGAAATAATTTTTTATATTCAAATATTTGACTCAGTTTCTAGAATTTATAAATATTTTGAAAGAAAATAAACGTTGTTGTATTATTATATATCTAATGGATGAAAGAAGATAAAAGATATTATATTATAAAAGAATTTATTTTAAAATATTATAGGAAATTATATTATAAATATTAATAATAGTCAAGGAGATAGTAAAACTAATGAGTCTTAATTCAGAAATTTTATAAAATAGACTTTTGCTTACTTCGCAGGGCCATAAACAAGACAAAATAAGGTAGAATAAAAAATTAGTATCATAGAAATTGTAAGGTAAAAATAAATATTAGGTATTATAAACTTGAGTCAAATTCAATCTTTGAGGCATAAAATTACTCTTTTATGATAAAATTAGAAAATTTTTTACTAATCAAAGAGAGAATGTAGAGAAGAGACTTATAGAGATTTGTTTTAACATTTGTTTCAAATAATTTGAATTAACTTTGAGTTACAAAGAGCTATTAAAAGGCAAAGATATTTTTTATTTTAAATTTTAAAAAATAAAAAGAAGATTGTATAGTAGAAATAAGTGTAAATGTAGTAGCAAATAGATGAGTGTAATTTTATAGGTTTGATAATATGCTTGTTTTGAATTTGTGCTGAAATTTTAAGATAAATCCAATGATTAGATTAAAAAGTATTAGAATTTGATTGGATCAAGGTCTTAGATATTTGATTTTTAAGGTTAGTGAGAGTTTTTGTGATCTTAAGCAATTTTCTAATTAAATTGAAACAAAATTTTATGAAAGCATATTAACTTTATTTTTTAACAATTTTCTAATATAGAAAGTAAGTAAATAGTTCTATAAGGGTTTATTGTTTCTACAACAATAATTTGAAGGAGAGCTACTGATGTTAGAAGATTGATATCAAGATTGGAGAAAGACAACCAATACTCATGCAAATAAATAGCATTTCTTCCAATTTGTTGGTTTAATTTTCTTTAAATTTTTTGTACTTATTTTAAACTAATAGATTGAAATTTTATAAATTTTATAATGAAGATAAATTATTAAATTAATAATTATTAAGATTTTAAATTTTCTATAGAATTCTAAAATAATTTGATTAAGATTTATTAAAATTTACTTAAGTTCCAATTAGAATGTGATTAAGATTTTTTAGAATTTACTTAGTTTTTGAATAGGATTAGATTAGAGTTCAATACAATCAACTTAGGATTTATTAGAATTTAATTAAAATTTCTTTTAGGTTTCATCATAATTTCTTTGAGGTTTCTTAAAGATTTCTATAAGATTTTTATAAATATATAATTTATTTATGATTTATTTTGAATTTATTTTTATTATTTAAGGATTTAATAAGGATTTTTAGGGATTATATAAGGTTTTTTTAGAATTAATTAGAGTGGAATAAGTTTTTTTTAGAATTTTTTTAAGATTGATAAGAAATAATTAGTATAATTAGAAGTTTACTTAAATTGTTTAAAATTGCTAAGAAAATGTTTCTAAAAATTATGCATTATGCATTATTTTTAGATTTTAAATCCAACTTCAAGTTAAGATCAAACCATTCTTAAAAAAAAAAAAAAAAAAAAAAAAAAAAAAATCTAATACATTTTTAAGCTAATTTTCACATAATACAACATCAACACCACCTTCTCTCATCTCTCATCATTACCTCATTTAAACATAACATGCTCTCCCTCTTTATCACCTCATTTGCACACCACATGCTCTCCATCTTCTTGTTAGTTTTCTTCAACCTGTTTGCTTTGTAAAAAATCTTCACAGTTCTTTCCACAACACTATTTTTTTCATTACACACCTGCCCACTTGCTTGCCTGTCCCCTCTCACCCCTTTCCTCCCCCCTCCATGCTTCCACCATCCTTAAAAAAATTGGGTGAGACAATGTGTCTCTGCCAACTTCACAACTGCTACAAATATTACGGCAATTCTTATTCTTTTGCCTGCTTGCTATGTGTTTCTCTCTTTATGCTTTTTGCAATTGGTTTTTAAGGATTGGATATTCAATTCTTGTACCCTAATATTGTTGGTTCTTTACGTAGTATGCTCTGTAAATTGGTTGAATAAATCATCATTGCAATTCTCAATTTCATTACTTCTTGCTCTTAATAATCATGTGGAGTTGAGAGGTTAATGAAGAGGAATAAGAGGGAGAGTATGTGGTGTTTAAATGAGATGATAAGAAGCGATGATAGAGGGCGATGCTATTTATGTATTTATGGCTGGGTGGGAGAAGTAGAAGTGATTAAGATTTGCAAACTAATTAAGAGTAGAAATATTAAGAGTAATTAAGACATCATTGATAACAGCGGTGATGGTTGTAAAAAGTGCCTTATGTGCATCTTAAGTAAAGAGCACCTTGTGTTGGCTTTGGCAAAACCCATGATGGCATGTGATAAATGACAAATTGTGGTGGTATTAGCAAAAGTTGAGATAACAACAGCAATACCATATATATATACATATACATACATTTTGTTTCTTTGATTTTTTTTAAATCTACCAATAAATATAACGTATTGTAAAATATTTTAAAATTTGTATCAAAGCTTTTAAACTTCAATAACTTTAAATAAAATTGATTGTATGTAAATGCCTATATGTGATAGTTATTAAAATTCTTTATATTTTTGAAACACTTAAAGTAATAACAACTTAAGTCTTAATGTAATTTTTTTAAGTTATAAACAAATTTTATATAGGACCAAATTTACTAAAATCAAGTAGTTAGCAAAATAATTTTTTAAGATGTTATTATTATTTTATTAATATTAAAAGATCAATGTTATGTTTTAAGTGTTTATTTCTTGTATAATTCATAACCTCTTTCTTATACTTTTAAAATTTAAAATTCATTATTAATTTTTGTACAAAAGTTCCAAAGTGTGTAAATATTTGCAAAAATATATATTTATAATTGCTTAAATTTAATTTTAAAAAATCTCTCAAATTATATTATAACATCTTTAGAAATATAAAACTAAAATATTACAACCAAATTTAAATTGTCCTTTAAAAAGAAACCCTACAAAGATATTTTATAGCCAAAATATATTTTTAAATTAACCAAAATAAATCTTTAAAAGTTAGAGCTATATTTACAAGCCTTTTCAAGTATTAAAGGTAAATAAGACCTCTAAATATAGTCTAAAAGCACTACTAAGGCTGATTGCCTTATTAGTGACAAATAATGACTACTAATGTGTTAATTTGTAGAAAATTAAAAATATATATATATATATATATATATATATATATACATTTTATTATATTTTGCATAATTCTTCTTAAATTTTCTACGTGATTTATATATTATGGCTTAGTATCACATTTTTCGATAAAAATACTTTTAATTAAATTAATACCAAGCATTTCTTGTCTACAAAGATTAAAACAGACATAGCCAAACAAATATTCTGATTGTAGCAGAAAACCCTAAAATAATATAAAACCATGAAAGAAATTGGGAAGAAAGTGCTGTGGGTCCTGGGGTGGGGGAGTAGACATACAAAATATAAATTGATTTGGATGTATAGATATATGTATAAAGTATTTAATATAGGTGAGATACATCACCGATCTGTTATAACAACACACATATTCATTTTGTACAAGCTTGTAATTTGTTTGATCAGATATAATCATTGTACACTCTGGATTTGGTTTTTATCTTAGGATATTAGTAAGAAGAAGCTGTTAAGATATATAACGAGTTCATTATTTATGTTTCCTTTGCAGCTTGATATTTCATTTCTGGACCCATCACAGTTGAGAGAGAGCCCTCAGGCGGCAAGATACGAAAGGGTTCAGCCGACACAACTTAGCGACAAACGCCCAGGATAAGTGGAGTATGAGCTTGCAACTCAAGGGGCATGAGACTGAACTGATTTGAAGGAAGCTTGAAGTGGATGTGCTCGGCAGAGAGGAGGAAGACGACTCTTCAAAACCTCAAAACGCTGCAACTGAAGAGGAAGCATTGCATGAAACGAAACAAAGTGGGTGGGAGCTCGAAGTGGACAACGACGTTTTACAACATGTGCAACAAGTGTTTTTGCAGGAGGGGATTCAACACCAGGCAAACTAGAGGCTTTGACTGTCTTTACAAGCATCTTAGATCTATGTACTACATACAAAAGGGTACTCCCGTTTAGTTCCCTGAATATGTATATCATCAAGGCTGAACGGAGAGTGCTATGCATGTCACATGTTATAACGGACAGCTTCCTGTGTGGTGCTCCATGGAAATGTGTTGAAAACCGTGCCAGGCGGATGAGTCCCTTTCGAACAACCATCTCAATCCATGTCATATTTGCGTTACATCCCGAACGTCACTCTGCACTTTGTGGAGTTGGGGTCTCAAGCGCGGCGCCCCAGTAGTTAGTGAGAGTATGTCAGTACTGTTGAAGGGGGAAGGAGGAATTGTTGCAGCGCTTGCACAATTGGGGACTTAGAATCTTCCTGGAAACACCAGCAGCATCGAACTTTCGTGAGCTAGCTGAAAATTTAGGATCAACTTTGTGTCTAGTAACCGACCCGATGATACAGAGGACCATTGCAGCAAGAGTGATACTCACTCTGTCACCTGCCTTGAAAGTGTTCCTTCAAGCTGCACGAATTCCGGAGGCGAAGCGTCGCATCCTGCAAAAGAATCGAGAGTTGTTGTAATTATGTCAGAATGTTTCATGAGCCCTTGCTAGCTGAAGATTACAAACTTGGGGATGATCCTAGATTGTAAATCGAACTCCAACTATGGCTACGAAATGGTCTAGTAAGATGTTACACTGGGAGCGCTAAAAAATACCTCGCAAAGAGGCTGCTCCGACGTTGCTTTTAGAGGTGGTTTAATGGGGATAAAGCTACCGAGAGGCTTTCGGGAAAACCTCTTCACTTGGAGAAGTCGTTCTGGCGGAAGGGTGTTGGACAGCCACGATTCCGAAGGCATTTTGGGAGATGGAGGGGGCCTCAGAAATGCCACTGCATCTACCCACTTAGTCCTTGGAGCCTCCGCCGAAGACGATGACGTCGAGGCTGAGGGTCCTTTGCCAGAGCTCTCAGTTTCATGCTCATCGTGCTCGTGTACTCGAGCATTCCGTGACTCCATGTAGTTCGTCTTACTTAGCATTCGAGTTAGCCGAGCTCCCAGACGGTCCACTTGCCGTGCCCGTTCCATCTCCCCGCTGGTGAGTTGGGAAGCCTTTGGCAATCCCAGAAATCCTCTATGATCTGGGGTGTGCACTGTCTCCATAGAGTGCAGCCGAATGGGAGGTGGAACCATCTCTGCCGCCAGCTGACCCTTTCTCAACACAGAGGAGGCGCTCTCTCGCTCAGTCTCTCTGATTTCAAGTTTTGAAAGCCGAAACGCATCTTCAAACTTCTCCTGAGACATTAGGGTGATATCGAGTTGGGTTTAGGGGGGGCGGGAGGGGGGGGGTTAATATAAACCGAATCTCGAAGGTATGTGGCACAAAATAACAGCAAAACTTCCATAATTTGTTCTGGGTCAGTCTCACCTCATCGGACCAGAACACATCTTCGGAATTGTCACTTTCATTTCCTTGTTTCGTATAGTCCATCTTCGTCGCCTGACACGGGCTGCGACTGTTTGATCGTGAAGTCCAAAAGCTATATCTGAAGTGTTGAAGGGTCCACCTCCCCAAGTGCAGAGGAAACCCACATGCTCTCATCTCCACATTTTCGTCCTCTGCATCATCACCACGTAGGTCCTGTTGAACCCCATGAGAGAGTTTCTTCTTATTTCTGCTCGTTTCTGACATAGTTGACACTGGCTTTGCAGTTACAGTAGAAGTTGAGTTTGGCAGAGGCCTGCACTCCACAAGAAACCCCTCGTCAGTGATACAACAATGGTTTGCAATCGAGGACACGTAGGGACACATCACTAAGGAAGAGATGAAAGCGATTGAAACCAGAAATACACAGCACGAATTGTACCTGAGAGTCATCTAGACGATGATCACCAGGATGTCATATCACAATATCACATCACCTGCATTCTGAGGAAGGCAATGATGATATTGATGCTGACGGTTTAGCTCCGGTGGCAGCCACTGCTTGCGCTGCGGGCAAGAATCTTTTGAGCATATAGTCCCGAGCGTCTACATTCCTATGGCGTTGCACATTGCTGAGAGGAGCAGGCGATGCTGCTTCGTGATCGGCGTCGTATGATGTGTTACTGGGACGCGATGTGAATATATCTCTTGCACCAGAGCACGCAGAGGCCATGTCCAGCTCGGGATTGGTCTTTCGGAGCTTCAGGTTTAACTCGGTTATTGACGTCCAAAGTGATGATTGAAATGCAGACCTAGGACGAGGTCGATCGTGTTACGCTACAGGTTCGTGATTGCTTCGCATATCGAGAGGCGTAACTTGCCCCAAGTGAGTAGATATCGACTTGGACACATGACGTTGTCATCAGCATTCACACCACATTCTTACGGTGGTCAAAGCCTCCCTCATCTGCAAGTCCAGAAAAACTCAAGTCACAAACATGGCGCAGAAACCTCTTGTCGATGAAGATAAACTCACTAGGTGCACCATACCGGTGCGAGACATGTACCGTTCAGTTCTTACAACAGACTGCGCCAGGTGCGGAGCATGATGCATTTCTGTAGGCAATGCAGGAAGCTAGCTTGCCTACATTGTCTCGGAATCCACTATTGAGTGAGGCAAACTCCAAACGAGAGCGATAAGTGCGTAGATTGGGATAAATATTTCGAAGTGTAGCACGGAAATTTGAAGAGGCGGCACATCAGATGAGTAGACTAGTACCAAGAAACCCAGCTATCGGGCAGAGACACAAAAGTTTGGATTGACAAGAGCGAAGGGGCGCAAGAGGCTAGAATACAGCTGCAGTCTTGGGGAGAGGTGTTGGAGCCTGTCAACAAGATAAGAGAAGGACGAGAACCGGAGCTAAAGCTTGTGACAGGAGTACTATTGTGCTTGATAATGGTGGTGCGTCGGGTAGGCTTACCAGTAGCGACGCATTGCGAGTAGAGGGAAGTTTTGCCTAGGATTTGACAGACCAGGAAGCTTCTTCAAAAGCACAGCAAGATTGCAGCTCTGTAAAATCATAGGCACAACAATGGTGGCTGTGGAGCTGTCCGGCAAGCGGACACATCAGCGGCAATGGCGACATCAACGAGTTCGAGAAGCTCGCAGATGTATGCTACGCGGTTCAAGTCGTGTGGAAGACGTGTAAACCGGTCTGTACATATACATCTTCAAATGTTCAGAACAATTCTAAGGCACGAAGTTGAACAATGTTCCTCGACAGTGCAAACAACTAAAACAACCTATCAATAATGTTCTACATGGGGAGCGTGAGACCAAAAGGCCATTTCTAGACAACCAGCAACAAGAGAACAGAAGCGTCAGCACACAACAAAAGTTGTGAGAAGCTAGAAAAACGCGTCGTTGCGCAAAACCTTCGAGAAACCACGTATTGTTTACGCTGTACACAGAAGATGGAATGAAGTACCCACTTGTACAAATTAAAACCACACGGAAAATAGAGCTACTCATTCATTTAAAAAGCACAATGCTGGAGGCAACATATTGACAGCGCATCCCATCAAAGACTCTAACGAAGCCTCGAGAGTGGACTAACCTCGTCTTGCTCCAGGAGCTACGAACTCACATCAGTGAGCAATTAACTTATAGAGGGAAGCTCTGAGGTGTGCGATGAGCTACGATGCTGAGTCGACTGCGTGCGGACGAGCTCATGAGTGAGAGAGTGATGAGTGATACTCACGAAGGTTGTGGGGGGGGGGGGGAGGAGGGGGGTGGAATAAGTGAAGTTGAAGGAAGCGTCGAAGCAGATGGCGGTGTCAGATGCCTCGGGATCCGCCGCCATGGTACCCGTTCTCCGTTTCAGACAGCATGGTTGTCAGACGCATTTGGATGAATTCTGACTAGTTCAAAAAAATCATTCACGAGCTGTACCCCTCCATATCCCTGCGTGGCGCATGTTTCAAGCTGACAGTCCCAAGCAAGTACCCTGAACACAACGACGTGATATATTACCACTATTCTTTTATTTTCTGTTGTTTTCAAATTTCATCGACCAGTTTGCCTTGGAGATGATTGCACTCTCGAGACACATTGCAAGTTGAGCTACTTGGCATAACAGAACAAACGATGTCTCGAGATCATCACTGATCTGAACCCTTTAGAGTAAAGATATGACACACCCAATTTCTCAGGTTGAAAATCTGCTGCGAGATTAAGTACAGGCTTTTAAAAGACATGAGTGTTTGACTTGGGACACAGCATTGAAGGCAGATGAATGCCAGCCGCACCAGTCATGTCCATGGTTTGAAGTCCTGACGAGTGACTCTCCTCCTGAATAAACTACAGCTATCGCATTGAGAGTAAGCCCTGAACGAGTAACTCATCCCTTCGGCAACGAATTTCTTCTGTGGAAGAGTGCCCCATGTGATGCGCATCTGAAATCACAGTCGCAGCACAGGCCAAACTCCCATATCTCCCGAGCTCCGAAACTTGCACTATTCGTCGGATGGGTCTGCAATTTGCCATTATGTTTGAATTTCGGATCGTGTCGAGGAGTTTGAGTTTGAGTTTCGGTGTTATATTGTTTTCTTTTCCCATAATACTCTTCTATGTTCTACACCTCATGCGAGTAACCTTCCGCATGGATTCTGTTACAGTTGTGATTATAATTTAAATAACTTTACCAATCTTTACTACAATTATAAACAATTGTGTAGATACGACTTCGGTGATTGAATTTAGGGTTTTATCCTTTCATTGAATTTTTTATGTCTAATCATTTGTCTGACTTATTGCCCAATCTATAATGGTAAAAAGCCAATTGATCGCTGTTTCAATGTGTGTGTGTTTTATTTTCTTACATTACAATTCCATAGTTTCCGGCTCTCAAACGTAGAAGTCTTCGGCACCCTTTATGTTGAGCAGGTAAAAGAGTTCAAGACGAATGGCACTGTTCTCAGAGATTCTTAATCCAGCTCGGTTTCTCTATGCAATCTTGGTATTGGGTCATGAATGTGTGTAAGGGGATCTGACATTCTACAGTGTCGTCTTTCCCTCAATGCCGCCGGCGGTAGTATTCTCTCTCTCTCTCTCTCTCTCTCTCTCTCATGCCCAAGCATCATAATGTGCAGTGCATCAGGACCACTTGTGTTATTCACCGCTCAACCATCACCGTTTGGGTGAATGCTCTGTCTTGGGTGAGACGTGAACTCCGTTGTGCACAGTCGACAGCGGTGGTCAGAACACACATTCTGGAATCCATTACGAACCGAGAGTTCCAATTACGCATCGAAAAGACACTGGTATTTTCCGATATGCTGCACGGCTTTGAGGACTGGATGACGTAGGGTTTTTCCAAAGATAATCCTGCCCCGAGGCAGTCGTAAATCGCAGCATGTATATTCCTGTGTTTATGTGACCGTTATTCTCGAATGCAGTGCAAGGTTATTTTTTATTTTTTTGAAAACAGAACTACAAGTGGGGAATGGCAACGTTACGTGAGGCTCAAGTATTGCAGCAACGACGCCAAACACACCCCCCCCCTAGTGGAGGGAGAGCAAATAAATACAGGAACGAGCATGTGACTGAGGCCTGGGAATCATTCATGGAAGCACGATCATTGTCCTTGCTACTGCTTGAATATTTCCTTCACCACGATCCCTGATTCGCCAAGTACTCAGAGTATTGAGTTCGCTTTATCACCTTTAAGCAGACACAGAGGCAACTGGCACCCAACAAGCCGATTCCAGCATCCTACACCTCCAAAAACATCGTGTAACTCATTTCTGAGCATCGCTGTGAACGTTTCGCAATAATGCAATTCCAATACCCACAGTCTTGTACTGACTCATTCTAGGTCAGGCCCTTCAGTATCCTACAAGCAAGTAAATGCGGGAGGACAAACCAGAGTACTTGGTGGATTCTGAGGAATTTCAATGTCCTCACGGCCTATTCTATATCAATGCAGCATACGACCTGAGCCTGTAATGCTATCGGTACTGTGAACAAGCGACCTACCAGGCATTTAGGTGTCGGACGCACTCCTTCCCACCATTTTGCAAATCACAAAAACGGATTGGTCAGCAAGTAACAGCAAGATTGTAATCCCGAGCTGCAAAATTCTTAAGCCCAATGTGGACAATCGGCGCGCCTACAAATGGGAGTGCTGTACAGTTCCGACATGCCAGGGACTCTGCAAAAGGAAAGGATAATCTTCCTTGAACCGTCCAAACACGTCCAACACTGTGCTTCATCACGTTCGCATTTGGCAGTGTTCACCGCAAGCTCTTACACACTCATCTGCAGCAACTCAGGGCCAGTGACTGAATCACACCCAGAGGGTAGAGTCTAATTTACCCAACTCCGTGAAGTTCCAGGGAATTGGTAGGAGAGTCATCAGTCGAGTCATTCAAAACCACAGTATTCGAACGTGTTGTTTAATCCAGTTTCATTTGCTGCTTGCGTCAAAAACCTTGTGCACAGTTTCTGATGCCGAGGACGATCATTTACTCCCCCGTTTACTGAGGTGATTGATGGTGAGGGTGGCACCCGTCACGTCCACCGCATCGTGTAAAAATTAATTGAATGTGGACAGGCTCTACGTCGATGTGTTGACCTTCACGGTAGTTGGAATTTCGGGGAAATCGACTGACGAATCACATTATATTCCCGAGATGTCCTTTTACAGTTTCACAGAAACTGTTTGCAGCAATTCAGTCTGCTTCCAAACTCCTCGACAGCCATCTCCACCTTCGGTTCCATGCCATGAGCCCCCTACAGCCTGCAAATTACAGCTTCATTGAGAAAGATTCAACTCAGAAACATCAAAGAGTGGGAGGCGAAATCGGGTGATGAGGGAAAAAAACCACAACTTTGCACCGACACAGATAATTCCAGCTCTAGGATCATGTGGTGAATTCTAACATCTACGGCAAATATATTCCTACACAATCTGGTGCAGTGAATCTTACACAGTGTGGCTGCATCCTCATGTGATACAGTGGATGCAGGAGTTGTGCAGATGTGTTTCGATGGGCACGCTGCTCCAATTCCACTGCAAATGTGGGGATGCTGATTGTGAGGCGCCATCGACGGTTGCTATGGACTGAGGTTTTGTGTCGGTGCACAAATTCACACACTCAAACACACTATTTTGTAAACGAAATGGTTTTTTTTTTTTTTTTTTTATTTTATTTTATTGTAATTTATTTAAGAAGTTGGAACGTTTTCAAGTGTGAATGGGTGAATAGTTAACCCAGTGAACAACTTGGTTGACACCTCCTTTTATTGCATGGACATCATTGTGCCACTCACCCCACATGTACACAACAAAACTCTTATTTGCACTAAAAAGTTTTAGAATAAATTTTCTATAAAAGATTTTCCAAATAAAATCAATTAGCTTTTAAAGATGAATAAAATATTATATAAAATATATCTTGGAGTTTTGATAAATTTAATCAAAAAAGAAAGAATAAAGAAAAATAAAGTGCAAAAAACTAGTGAACAGTGTAAACAAGAGTTTTCATGTATGTATGTGTGGCACAAGGGATGTCTATGCAATAAAAAAGGGAGGGGAGTGTCCACCTAGCATTTCTCTAAATTTAATAGATGGATTTTAGAAGAGTTTTATTTCTTGATAGATTTGTGCAACATAACAAGTAACTATCACAATTATGTAAAAATTTGATGGACAATTAAAATATGGGTTGTTTAAGTGACCACTAAAAATATTGCCATCAATATTTTGTATAATGTGTATTTTGTATAGAATCATGTATATGGGCTACTATTGTAGAATAGATTTTATAAGCGTTTTTTTAAAACAATAATAATTTATTGAAGTAGAGTTTTGTATTTTTAAAAGAAAATATAAAAAAATTTATCAAGACATTCAATTAATATAATTCAAGACAATTAATAACATATAATTAATATAATTCATACAATTAATAACATACAATCAATTCAAGACAAAGTTGCATTTATTTATCATGTATAACACATGCAGTACTAGTGTGACCTATTAAGTAAACATTAATTATAAACTTCATGGTAATATTTTGCTTAACCAATGAAGATATTCATCATAAGACAATTTAATATTAAAACATAAGATTTAATTATTATAATTGTATATATTACAATAAAAAAATTAAAATTCAAAAAAATCAAAGAAGCAAAAAGAATGCATTCTCTGAGAATACTCTCTAATCACTGACGTCAAAATTCATCTTGTCCAAATAGACCAGGAAAAGTGGCGTCTTCTCAGATTTAAAACAGAAATTAGATGAAATGTAATATTATTGGAGAAATATCTATACATGCATATATATTAATTGAGAGTTATACACTTAACAAGTCTATAATGTTTAGAGAAGGAAATATAGTATTTAGGGTAAAAAGTGAGAGGTCTCATCTTTCAAATTCTTCCATTAGCATCGCATTTCAGAAGCTACTCAGTTTTAGCCAGTAAAAAGATTGAAAAACTGTGACCTTAAATAGGAAGACCCCTTCTTCATAATCAAACTCTAAATAAAAACGAACACGAGTAATAATAAGAATACGAAGAGTGGATCGACGCCGAGGCGCCACGGCTTCGATCCACCATCGCAGCCCCATCCATGGCACAACCGATCCATCCAGTTCCAACGACGGGGATCGTCCTAGAAAAGAATGGCCCTGCTTATTTGCAAAGGACCCATGTATTAATTTAACAAAAATAAAACAAAAATAAAACAAAAAAAACAAAAAAAACAAAAAAAACAAAAAAAACAAAAAATCTTTTCCTCTCTGGTATGGGTCCCGTTCTTATCCATCGCAAACCCTAATTTCAACCGCTGCTTGGGCCCGATTCAGAGAAAAATTCTCATCTCGAAGCGCTCTTCACTATGTCCCTTGTGTAATCGCAATAACAATTCTGCGGACCCACCTCGTTGTTGATCTGGAGTTGGGTTTTCGTTGTCCATTCACAGCTCCAGGTTTCAAGCCCAGGCCAATTGGATTTTTTTTGTTCGTTTTGTGCTTGCCTCAGCAACACATCGTGTCTCCGAATTGTGCGGTGAGTGTGTGTTCCTTGATTGTTTGGGAGTAACCCCATTCGATTTCGAGCTCGGAACAATTGAACTAGTTGAAGAAGATCTGGAATTAAATTGTGTTTGTTGATGTGACACGGAAAATTGTAGATATGATCTCGAAGTCAAGTAGAATAGTTGCGAGAATGTGTCTGTGTTGTTGATTGTTTTGTGAGGAAGCGGTTTCCGAGTTGAGTTGGGCGTTATTGTATTTTTGTTATGCTTGATTTTCTTATCACGATGTTGTCATAGCGTTGCGGAGTTTGTTAGATTGTGATCTCTTTTGAAATTAAGTAGCCTGAGACTTGGGGTATGCTCTCTAGATCATTCACTTCGTTGTTTTCTAATTAGATGGCCCCTCATGGTAGAATATTTGCTGTTCTCTGTATTGCGCTTTTGTATGGAGGTTTATTGCGTTGTGTAGCATTGCCCATTGAAGTTTTTCATGCAGCAAGAGTCGAGATTGAAGCGTTTTAAATTGCATAGAGTTCAAGAAAGGAGGGAAGATGGCATGCTTGATGGCTGGTGCAGGAGTGGCAGGCGTCTTTACGCAATCCCAGCTGTGCAGTCGTTCCTCATTTGCGTCGAAATGCGGTGGCCTTTCTGGCGGTGGCGCACCTGAATCTGTCGCCCCACGAGGTCTTGCAGTTCGGGCAGGCGGTAGGAACTCAACTCAATTATGTTTCTTTTGTTGGTGGCACAGAGGGATTTTTTTAGAGGGTTTTCGTTGGCTTCGGGATGTCAAAGTGAGTGTGACAATATGATGAACCGTTTTCTCTACCTTTTATTCCGTGCAAGGGGTCGCGAACCTGGTGAAAGGCTTCGCATATAACATGGTATAGATAGTTTCAAAAGTCAATCTGAATCGAAGCAGCAGCTGTTGATTGGAATCCCCGAATCATTTGAAGTGTCGAATCATTTGAAGTGTTTAGTCTTTCATGTTACATACGATGTACCTATGACTGGATTTTGTCACCTTAAGAATATTCTCTTTAGATTGCTCAATCGAGGCAGAAATTTCAGGGATCCCAGTGTTGCATATCGTCTATTTTCAACCTAATCTCTGAATTGACTGTCTTACAAGTGAACACTAGGCTTTTCACTAGCAGTAAAATCCACTGGTTCCTCACTCGTGGATATCCATGACATTCAAACCTGCTCAAATTACCAGTGTGGGCTGCAAGTATAGTCTCCATTACAGCCTGCCTCTTGTACCGTTGTTGTCGAATTATTATTGCATTTTCTATTTCAGATCCTATTGAGAATTAATGCCATAGGTGTGGGTCTGTCATACATGCAGGAGAGCCTTCTGCACAGTCTCTGGAAGTTATGCGCAAGTTTTCTGAGCAGTATGCGAGGAAATCAGACACTTTCTTCTGCGTGGACAAGAGTGTCACTGCCGTCGTCATCAAGGTAGGTATGGTAGTTGTGTAATACACATATCACGCAATCATATTTTTCTTGACTGGGTAAGGACTTAGAGTAGTTGCGGTTTTGCAGGGTTTGGCGGAGCACAAGGACATTTTAGGGGCCCCTCTTTGCCCCTGCAGGTCAGTAGTCCTGTAGGAACTTGGGACACTTTGTTTCCTTCGTCCAAATGAATACATGTTCATAACGAACTATGTAGTTTGATCACGACCTTAGCGGCTAGAACTGTTACAATCTTGTGGCTTCTAATAGCTTCTCGCTTTATTAATTTATCAGGCACTACGATGATAAGGAAGCTGAAGCAAAACAAGGCTTTTGGAACTGTCCTTGTGTTCCCATGCGTGAGAGGTATGTCCTTTCTATCTCTATGCTTTAATTGTAATAGGAACCAGCCATTGTGGTTGGACTACTGTATGTATATTTATAGCAGAAGGCGCCCATCAATAATGGGTTTAAACACTCATATTGTCTTACAACCTTCCTGTCAGGAAGCGCAAAGCCGAACTTGCATGTGATTTTGATTTCGATTTTTGAATTTTATGGTTTTTAGTGCTCATCCAAGATTCAGCTAAAATTTTTAGTTCCATCTTTTGTACATTGGTTTCGTTTTCTTCAAGTGCCTGTGTTTGTTCAGGAAGGAGTGTCACTGCATGTTGTTCTTAACTCCTGAGAATGATTTTGCGGGAGACGAGCAGGTATACTACCACATATTTGAGTATGGATTGCATTACACCACTGTTGGAAAGTTATTTGCTTTGAACTATGTATGTTTTGAACCTAGGCAGCACAATGATCTTTAGTCACGAAAATGCATCGCTCCAAGATTGTTGGCTTTTTCACCTGGATGTATGACGTATAGGACACCCGACACTCTGGGACGGTATGGGCATCTGATCCCCATAATTCATAATAACCTCTTCTAATGGCAACTTGATTTTGGTGTTCATGTTCAGAAAATCACGATCGATGAGATCGCCGAATTGACGAAAGGCTTTTGAGGCACTTGTACCATCCTCTATTTTTCTGTATTGGCTTCCTGTGCATTGCAGAAGGACCACATCGTTTCTGCACGCGATTGTGTGGTGCAGGAAGGTGAAATTCGTAATGTTTAAAACATAGCACTAGGTTCTGTATTGATAGGTCCAGAGTGTAAATTTTGAGTTGGAATGTAGCATATATCCTTGTTCAACCCTGCAAGATCCAAGAGAGCCATCCAGTTCGTAATTCATGTTCTTGCTCCCTGTTTTGTATGTCGGATATTCTCCAAGCCACTTCTTTCTTATACAGCCTTTACAACAGCACGGGGCTCGTAATTAGAGGAATGAAACATGAATGATTTTCTAGTCTAAGAGTTAAGATAAAACGAAAATATTTCATTGGAGTACTTTCTGAGTTCTTGATGAGGGAGAACTTCATGATGTAGTAATCATCTGACCTTAGTTGTCTTCTGTATTACAACCAGTATTTTGCTTCTTTGTGATGTTTAAAATTGTGAATTACATTGAATAAGAATCCGTTGGGTCTGGTTATTACTAACATTAGTAGATTTATTGGCAAGATCCGAAGGTAAGATTAGTAGGATCTGAATAACATGGATATTACCTGCGGAGTTGTCCTTCGACGTCACCCGACGTGTCCATCGCTTCTGGGAAGGGTTTCATTACAAGGCATTGTATTGAGTAGCCAAGTGTGACTCCATCACTTCAGTCACTACGATGTTGATGATGGAAAGATAAACACTGGATTCCATCTCGAGGATCAGAGTGTGTTTCTCAGCCCACATGGAGGGTTTCTCGCAGCTGGTAACAAAGTTGACGTACTCGATGAGCTCATTCATCGCCGGATCATCAATTCTGACATTGTCTCGAGAAACATAGTTGTGCAGGCCCAGAAACATAGTTTTGCAGGCCCATGTTGTGAAGAGTCCGATACAAACCGATACACACCTGGCAAGTTCTTCTGAAGCTCTTGCTATCTACGGTTCTTAACACATCCAACGAGCCAGTTCATGAGCACATTTCATAGTTGCCAGTGAAATAGGTTGATTGTTGAATTGAGAATTATTTATTAAGATCAATATTTATATTGGTCTTCTATCTATATGTACTATTTATAAAAACTATAAATGTTAGTAGTTAGAAGAAGTATGAAAAAGAATCTCATGTTATTTTAGGTATTAGTATAAAAAAAAATAGGATTTATAGTAGACTTAAATTGATTTTTATTATTATCAAAAATCACCAAGATAGGAAAATGTAGCCTTACATGGATGTTATCATTATAGAAACATTATAGGATTTTTCAGAATTTATTTAGAATTTATTTATAATTTTTGAAGAATTTTTAGAACAATATTTAAGATCTTGGTAAAAATGAGTTTTTTCACTTCAGAAGCCATTATGAAGAAAGGGAGTAAGATTTGAAGGCCACATTGAACTCTTAAGCTAATGGGGTGTTTTTAAACACCATGGTGAAGTCAAAAATACAAAAAAAATGAATTTTACTAGTAGAAAATAGGAGGACCAACAGCTAGTCTAGTCCTTGTAGGAAGGATGGTGTACAAGTCCCATATGAGTTGTAGCACCTTGGGTGTAGGTAGGAAGATAAGTCTAAGGCCTCAATGCCTCTTTAGACAACAGATATACATTACATGTGAGCCTTGGTGAGGCTCAAATCCTTGACCTGTAAGCAAGTTACTCTTGAAGTAAAATATTTTCACTTAACTTTTATTTATTTACATGTTATTTTTAAACCTTCATAACTTACTCATGGTAACTCTAATTTACATGTTTCTTATATCATTGGAAAGCTTAAAAAATTAAATTCCTAAAAATATACTTTTTATTTTTACTTTTTACTGGGTGAAAACTCCGTGAATAAACTATGACGGAGTTTTGGAGTGTGTATTTGCTTGTATACATTGCTTTCACTTGTTTTTATTGTTTTTTCCTATTATAAATCATTGAATATGTGCATTATTACAATTATTACATAATGCTTATTAAAATAAAAAATATTTTTTAAATACTTGATTTTAGTTTAAAGTTACTTTTATTGTAATAGTAAATTAGAAAAAAAAAACAAAAACAAACAAAAAAAAAAAACAAAAAAATAAGAGAGATTTTGAAGTAAAATTATCTTGTATTTACATGAAAAATAAAAGTCCAAAAATAATAATGTTTAAATATTTAAAATATTAGAAAATACTTTATCTTGGTATTTTTATTTATATATATATATATATATATATATATATATACTGAAAAAAACATGTACCATTTTGTACTGCAATATTTGGCTCATCCATTTATTCCCTCATTTATCCATAATTCCTTGTTCCCATGTTTCCTAGTTCTCAAAGTTCTTTGCATTCTCTTCTCTATAACTAATTAGAATAATTCTTTATTTATTTGTGTTTTATCCAAAATATCTTATATATTCGATATACATTTTTTAGATATTATATTCAAATCAATAGAAGATATATTTAAAAAATTTATATTTTAAAATAAGTCTTCTTGTTTATCAAATCTTCATCTTAAAATTTAAACAAAAATTACTTAATATAAATAAAATTACTTCTTTTTGTAAAAGAAGCATTTGAATTCTTTTATTATATTCTAATATATATATATATATATATATATATATATATATATTAAATGATAATTCTTAATAAACTATATCAAAAAAATTATACAAAATAAGTGATATATATAATTTAGAAATTTTTCTACCCTCATTAATTTATATATATATATAAAAATTATTCTTAATTAGCATTATAAAAATTTATTTAAGTTTTAATTTTTATTTAAATATAATTTAATTTTTAAAAAAATTGTTAATTTTTTTAATATATAAAAATAATTATAAATAATTTATATTAGAAATATTTAGTTCTTTTAGAAGATACAACATTGGATTAGTTGGACATTAGGCTAAAGAAGTATCTAAGGATATTTTCCAAGGGAGTTACTTAGACTAAGTTTAAGAGAATTTTGATTTTTTACTTAAAATTTTAATAACTAAATCACATGAAAAAAATTTGAGCTATTAAACTTGATACTTGTAAACACTTAGACAACATTAATTTACTATATAATAAATATCTAGAACTAACTAATATATATCAATCTATTAAGCAAAATTTTCTACTATGAAGTATAGATAACAATTTAGACCAACTAAAGCGAAGAAAGTTCTTTTGTTGAATTAAATACAAAAATAGATGTTACCAAATTATAATATTACCATAAAAAAATATAAATTATGGCATATCAAATAAGGCGTAGATTATATGAATTTATTATTTTGTGTTTTGAAATATAGAATGGACCAATTATCTTATTACAATTATAAAATTATTACATTTATAATTATAAAATTATTATCTTATTACATTTATAAAATTAAAATTTTTATGGTTATATATATATATATATATATATATATATATATATATGTGTGTGTGTTTGTGTGTATGTGTGTGTATAAAAATATATATTTATAATATACACAAAAAAACAAGCTTTTTAGTTTTATCTTTATATGATTAAAATACAAAAAATTATACCAAATCGTAGAAAAAATTTATTTTATTTTTAAAATATTGATTTTCCTATAAATATAGTAAATAAAAAAATATAATTTCAAAGTTATATAATTAATTTTAATTAAAGAAAAAAAAACATCTAAAATGTCAAAAAAATAAGTTTCTTCTTAAGACTTACAAATTATTATAATTTTTCTTTTTATTTACTTAGAATTTTCTTAAAATTGAAGAACCTCTAATAGATGTTGTATACAAAAAAAAAAGATTACTTCACAAATAATAGATATAAGAAAACCTTTTAAAACTTAAAAGAAATTTTAATTATATTAGGAGTATTAAATATCTATAATTTAATATGAAGATTTTTTTGTTTTTACATTATTAAAATTATTTTAATAATAGAAAGATTATAATATGAGATAAATATTCAATTATCTTTCTATAAATATATGATAAATAAAAAATATTATTAAATAACAAAGAATAACACACAAAGGATCTAACATATGGTTATCAATGAAGAATCATTCTAAGAATTTAAGTTAATAAATAAATATATTTGAGCTTACTTCTTTACTTAATTATTTTATTAATTTTAAAATATATTTTTATCTTACTTAAATATTTCAACATCTTATAATAGAATGCAATAAGTAATAAAATTCTTTAATTAAATTTTTTAGTATGTAATTATTTAAATATATTCAAAAGATAAAATTAATCTAAAATAAGATAAGTTTTGAATATGAATTAAAAGAATAACAATCATCTTTGTAGTAACAAAAATAGAATTATAATTAGAAATAGTACATATATTTATTTGACATGAGTTTTTTAGAATTTTACAAGATATAAGTGAGTTGCAATAATAAGTAGTAAACTTATATAAATAAAATAATAATAAAAATATCACTTATAATTAGTCCAATATGACTTAAGAAAAAAAAAAGAAAGATAAACTTAATAAAGATGTTGATTCTTTAAAAAACTACACACAATTACATACAAACTTTTAAGTAATAAGGTTATGTTATAAGGTTATGTTATAAGGTGGTTATGCACCAACCTCAAATTAGAATTGTCTAGTCAAGAAAATTTGTTTGCATGTCATTTTTAGATGATCCAAAGAGATGTATAATAGAAAATTAAACTAGCTATTGAAAACCAGAGGAACTAGCTTTAAGTAAATAGAACATACTAATAGAAGTTATTTAGAAGTAAGATCTTGGAATTGTAACATAAAAGAAGTATAACAACACCATACATTAGACTAGTACTAACAAAGATAATATATTGCTTTTATTTGTAAGTATTGAAGGCTAAGAAATACAAAACAAGCTTGTTATATTGCATTAAATAATAAAGAGCTTTGTGGAATAAATCAATATTTTTTTAAAAATTATTTTTTAAATATTTAATATAATAAATATAATAAAATATTAATATTACTAATATTACATATCAAACTTCAATACTTTAAAAATGCTACATATTAATACATCATTACGTTCATAAAATATCATAAAATGAATTAAGAATTAATTGTGTTTCCTATTATCAAATCACATAAAAATTTATTTAATTTTATTTATAAAATTTAGGTTTTTAATATTTTTTTTAAATATAATAAATCACTTTAAGCTAAAACTCAAAATTAAATACAATTGTTTTTTAAAACTCATGTTGTAACAAAGGAGCATGACTAACAAATGCATCTTAACTTTCTAACCTCTAATACCAAAGCTGATTTGTTTTCGACCCTAAAGTCCAATTGTGTTAAAAGAGTTCTGCCCTTGAAGCCTCAGACATCAACATTTAAATTCTGGGCCACCTGTAAAAGTCCTCTTATTCTAATAACATGTCTTCTGCTTCATTATCATACAAACTCAAACTGCTGTGGAATAGCTTCCTTTGTGTCCCATCAGAATTCCTGCTGCTTTAAGGGAGCTATACCGGGGCAGTTAATGCAGTTGCCTCCACCGAAACAAGGGTGACGAGTCACTCGGTCTTTTTTAGTACGCTAAATCAAGCATAACATTACAGATCCTGCTGTTCAAACCCAAAGATCTGGACTGGAAGCTCTTTAAACAAAACCAGGATTATGTACCTAAGGAGAAGCTTGAGCTTTTACATCCATTGATTTGTTTGTCGAAGCACAGTTTGCCAAATTCTTCCGTGTGCAGCAACGTTCACCGACATCCTGCAAGTTGTGCTTAACACAGCTGAACATTCCTACCCCATCTTGGACATCTATGCAATCTCCTATGTTAACATCGAAAACGGAACCAATGATGGTATCTACCACAACCTAGGTTGAATTTACTATCCAGGAGAATTTGCTAGTTCTGTGGGTGTACTTAGTACACTTGCCCGTTATCTTGTCTACATTTTGTTTCTAGATCATGGTTGTTGTTCACGACGCAAACCGATGGTGTGCAGGCATTACTAGGATTGCAGTTACAAGGTGCTGCAATCGGTAGCTAGGAAGCCAACGCGACTGTTCGCCACATCGGTTACAATGAGGTTGTTCTGCTGCTGGACGTTGCCTATGATCGAAAACTGATCGCTCGTGCTCATCGCAGTGCACACAGTCTCGCCGAAGTTGTCCACAAGCACCCATAGGTTCGACACCGGAATCTCGAAGTCGACGTTCGTGAGATGCACTGTCATCGATGGTAATGTTAGACTCGACGCGGAAACGCTGGAAATGTCATAGCACAGATTCAACCCGTAAGGAGTTGGGTCTGCCTCAGGGTACGAGATCTGTCGCCGAAGTTCCTGCCACACATGAGGTCCAACAGAATTAACCAAACATACAACAACAAGACTGATTATTAGACACCGAGTATAAACTTATCATGATCGCATTCAGAAGAGCTTGTGGACAGTACTGCCAGGATTGGAATGAATGCTGCGAGTCGCCAGTATGTGATTGTGGTCCCCGAGTCTAAGATCACACCCCCTACGCCATTGGCGTCGATCCGAAAAGCCGAGGGAGGAGTCGGGACGCGCCGGTTGCCAACACTGATACTCTCCACCCCCACGTAGTAGTAGCTGGGGTTGTCCTCATTCTGTAGCAAAGGCGTGAACGATGCCCTGGAATTCTCCGCAGCGTTGCCGAAAGTGATTGGACTGAAGGTTCCCGTAGTTGACTGATCCACCAAGCAGTACGAGAAGATATGTGTAAACGATGAATTGAGCTGGGACGGAAGCGAGAGCGGCCCTTGACCCAAGCCAATCAAACCGTCTGCGCCGGCGAATGTCCCTTCCTGGTTGTGGCCACAGCCAAATCCAATGCGGGCGAGTGTCGAGCCATTCAGGGTCACCGTTTCGAATGCGAAGTCGCCGCGCGTGTTGGATCCGTCACCGTACGAGTATGAGTAAGTGCATGTGTTCCTCATGCTGCAAGTCGGTCGAGGTAGTGCCTAGCAATTCATGTGTAAAATTGGGTTCAGCTTAACTTATTGACATCGCGGAAAGTCTTAGAATTTATTGTTTGCAAACTGTATAAATACTGCAAATATCATTCCAGAACTGCTTCATGAATATATCAGAGTGAGCGAGAATCGATTATGATTGGTACGTCGCAGAGTGAGTCAGTGCAGCTTGCGTTCGAGTACGAGCTTGAGGCCAGGGGAATAAACAGCGGGTCTGGTTGCTCGAAGCACCGAGCACAAGGCGCGCACTGGACCCAGCAGAGGTCACTGCCGGTGTCGACAATGGCGGAGAATTGCTGTGGAGGCGTGCCTAGGGAAATTTGCAGTACATACTCGCCGCTGCCTGCGGACACTTGGCCTTCCAAGCTGCGCGCTGCCTGAACTTGTTCCTCCCTGGAGGTTCTGAGTTTCTTCTCTAGCTCGGTAACCCGGATGCGGCTGCGTTTCACTGCGTCGAGAAATCTTTCGCTTCGGGAACGTGACGATGTCGACGTTCGAAGGTCGTCTCTGTGCACCAAGACGGACCGCATCACCTGACGCGAAACCGAAGAAGCGAATTTAGAACAACAACCCGATGCACAAGTCCCAGTCTGAACGACATTGTGCTGAATAATGAACACCGAATGAGAATTCGGATCCCATTCTTATACTGATTTATGTATCTACTCCTTACTATCAAGGGGCATATGTGATGCTTAATTACTTACATTGGTGTTGAGGTCTGCATCCGCGGGGTTACGGTTCAGAAGCTCCAGTTTACGTCCGCCACGGAAAATGCCACCCCCCGATTGGTAACACTCAGTGGCGAACAAAAGCTGAAGGAGAACAATCACACACAACACAGCCATCGCCATGGCTCCTATGCACCTGTTCGGATTCACAGACATATATTCGCTTCAGGTCCAAAATGCTGCAAACAACAACATTAATGACAAAAATTAGCTCCACTGTGAACATGAGAGATCCAAACAATCTGCGTCCCTGTTGCCACGACGTTGGCAACAAGGATCACCCTGCAAGTAAAGCTACGTGACCGAGGTTGGACCCTGGGGAAGCAGAGGTGGGTGAGTAGAACGTGAAGTGGGAGAGGGGGGTTATACAATGAGGGGAGCATGACCAGGTTGGGAAGGGGGTGGGGGGATGGGTGGGTTGGCATGCACTGAAGCGGCGAAGATGCCGTGTTAGCAGGAGCGCTGCATCTTTGTGTCCGGTAATGATAAACATAACCAGAGGCGGGCGAGGTTGCTGCTGGACATTCGACTTCGCCGCACAGCCAAGCAAAGAAAGCACTCCATGTAGTGAAAGCGAATGGAAAGGGGAAATCCAGGCTACTCTTGCTGCTATTGCTGCACATGTTTTGGGTTGCGTGGTCGATCTCTCATCTCCCTGCAGGTCACCTTCCTTCCATCCCATCCTTTTTGTTTCATTACACACTCTACCAACAAATTTACACTGCTACCATTCGTGACGCAGAAAATCGCGCTTATTGCTCAGTTGGGTAGGAACTCAAATCATCCATGATTAGTTTCCACCTCAGTATTGGGTAACTTGTTAGCGCTGAGTGCTGCAAAGCGCGCGGGTCAGCGGGCGAGCATTGCTGGTCCGTTTTCTGGTGCCTCCACCATTTGCCTAAATCTCTTGCCATTCGATCCATCAAGCTTGTATGAGGAAAAAAGTGTCCATCTCACAGCGATCACCGAGTTCAATCGTAAACGTGATGATCTGAAAATGTTGAAGCATAGAAAGCTCTACGTCAAACACTACTCGTTGAACTCCATGAACAACTCACAGCAACACTGTTTCACTCAAGGATGCCGTTCAAGGAATCAATATTCCTGCTGCTTGTCAGTGCGAATTTTACCCCAGCTTCGGATCTGGAAACTACAAACTATTCCAAAACTAAATCAAAAGCTTTGTTATTCCGGAACGCCATGAGTTTGCTAGACGATCTAGAAAACACTCGGTCAAAGGTCAAATCAGCCTTTGTATTAGATCTGAACTATTCAAGAGTTCTCTGTAAACTATGCAGTGTAAAGCAATTGACTCGTTGCAAACGAAACTTTGGGTTACGAGTTGATTTTACAGCTTCGAATGGTGCTGTAAAACTGGAACTGGGAAGTGTGAAAACATTGAGAACGTTTTGTACAAGGTGAATTCATGCTCAGGGTGCTCAAGTTCAGATCTTCAGTCAGTCACTTGATAAGGAGACTGAAGAAGCGTGAGCTAAAAACTAGAAACACCAACACAGTAGCAAATAATTGCAGGGCAATCTTGTCTCAATCATGATATAGGGAGTGACCTTGAAGTACAGAGCTAAGAAGTTGTCCGCAAAGTAATGAGGCTTCCTTTTAACTTTAAATGAAAAAGAATATATATATATATATATACACACACACACACACACATGTGTCCATGAATGAATGAAATGAGACTTTTGGATAGCATTTCGATTTGATGAGAATAATTATGAAAGTGGTCTGAAATGAACTTGTACTCATTTCTTAGGAGAAATTAAAACATGAAACAACAAAGGCTATCTACTACGCAATACAGGGATTGAATTCGTTGAGTTCAATAATTATTTATTGACTTGAAATGTCACACTCAATGGACTTTCCACTAAAATTCATACATTTTTTATCATTCATTTTTTGAATTACATGTGAAGATTGGAAAGTACAAAAGGGTCTCAAAATTTTGAGAATTTGGTTTCACAATCAAAAGCTGAAAACACATTTCAACCCTAATAGGGTTATTTTGAAATCAACCCTATTAAAAACCAACCCTAGTCAAATGCAAATCACAGGTTTCTACGCCATCAACCTTATGAGATTTACTATATGGTCATTAAGAGTCTCAACAACATGCACCCTACGTCAGAATTTTTTATATAAAAAACAAAAAAAAATATTTTGAAAAAATAATAATTTTAAAAAGAAAAAAAAGAAAGAAATCAAGCTCCTTGGATTTGGGACAATCACTACTGTATCTCTATTTATTGTTCCTTCCCCATGTTTATCCCTCAATTTTTTCTAGTTAAAATTAGGGTTTAGGATATGTTTATTTAAAAGAAATTAAACATTACCCAATACCTCCTCCTACAGGGTCAGTGCTAGCCAAATAGGAAGTACTAGGAGGTGGCACGGATGAACACAAATCATCCATAAATGGATAGATGATGTTGTCATCCAGAAGCCCAAGAGACAGAGTGATGAGTCCAGTATGTAACTGACTGTAGTACAAGAAGGGCAGGGGGGGGGGGGGGCAATGAAGATAGCAGCCACCTTTGATCACATAGGGGAGTATTCCAAGCAAACTCAAATACAATTCAACAGGCAACAGAAGCAAAGAAAAGTAAATCAAAGCAAGCCAAGGGAGCAAAGCAAATGAAACAACAATAGCCAACAGTACACAAAAACATCATGAATGGTGGACTACCTTGCCTCATTTGCACAATACAATTATTTATTTATTTATTTATTCTCCTCTGATTACTTTGCTTGGCTTTCACCCTTTTCCCACTACCCATTCCCTTTACTTTGCTGCACAGCTTGTGCATCTCCTCAGCAACACCCTTGAGTTGCTACTCCTCTCATACCACCATGCCTCATATTTTCTAGTGTGATTCTACTATAGTGTAACACACACACACTCTCAACACAGAGTGAAAAAAACAACATATGGGTTTAGGGTGAGGATGTTAATTAATTGGGGACATGGGGATGGGGCACAACACCTAATTCATATCCCGTGGTGGGGGCACCAATCAGAC